CTCTCTCTCTCTCTCTCTCTCTCTCTCTCTCTCTCTCTCTCTCTCTCTCTCTCTCTCTCTCTCTCTCTTGTGTTTGTCTCTCTCTCGTCTTTCTGTGTCTCTCTCCCTTTTCCTTGTTCGTTTCTGACACCCCCTGTGTCGCTCTCCCTCTCCTGCGTTCGCAATTCTGCCTCGGTGGCTGCGTGCCGGAATATCTCCCGGACATCGCAGAAGGGTTCGACATGAGTGCCCTCGACGGAGGAAGCCAATTCGGAGGCCGTGGCGGCCCTCCCGGAGGGATGGGTGGTATGGGGGGTATGGGAGGCATGGGGGGTATGGGAGGCATGGGGGGTATGGGCGGAGGCGAGGGGGGAATGCCGGCAGACATGGCAGAGATGATGGCCAAGATGCAGGCGGGCGAGATGGGAGGCATGGGAGGAGGTCGGGACGACAACGGTGACGATGATGATGATGACGAGGTGCGATGGTAGTATGTATTATGACCAGAGTCAACGTTGGTGGCAGTGATGGTTGTACACGATTCTGGTCGCCCGCCGAAAAATGCGCTCTCCACTTTCAAACCAATCATTTTCGATGCAGAATGGGCCCCCCAGTTTAGAAGCTCGTTAAGGGCGCGGGGGACTTGTGCAGGTCTCTTGCAAGGCGGTAGTTACTCTTTCGGCAAAGAAACCAGCCTTCGGGAAGCAGAACCCCCTCATAAGTCTATGATCCGTCGGTCTGGAAGTGCTGATTCAACATCGATCGATATCGTCATCCCTCATAACACTTCGAGTAGTGCTGGTTCTTGCCTCGAAACAGCCTTTACTTCCGCTGTAACCGCAATCCCCAACACAACGAAAAGTCCCATTCTTGCGCAATGTTATAGCAACCTAACGCTAAATCCCAGCCCTAAACCTTGACTCTAAGCCCCTCGACCGAGAGCATGAGGGCTACGCAATGTGCGGCAGGTACCACACGGTGTGGTAGGGTTTGGGAACGTCTAGCCCCCAAGACGCGGGATGTCAATGCACAAAAAACATGGGGCACCGCGTGGATTTTTCGGTCCTCGTTTTGGACAAAAACTGCTGTTTCACGAGCGAAGTTTTTCGTTGAGTTTTGTCTCCTTGTCTGGAAACTCGCCATACATGGAAAGCTCCTTCCCCCGGGGACGTGATTTTCAACGGTACTTCCAACGGTGTTTTGGGATCAATTTGCAGCAAACGTCCTTTCTCCGAGGAAGCGGTGCACCGTTATGCCCTTAACATGTTGATGTGTTCAACAATGTCCGGGTAGACCGGAGGGGGTTTGGGGCTTCTGCGTGTCTATTCTTCGTTTTTCCCCCTCTCCATCTCCCGTTGGCATTCAAGCATCGCACATCTTTAAGCTATCCCAGCACAGCTAAGTCCTGCCGAACATGAGCGCGGAGAATCAGGACCGTAGCGCTAGTGGGCCACCTGCAACCGTTACATGTAACTCTTTCATCTTAGTACTGTCGAGAAAGCGTGAGATATATCGGGTCAGCGTTGCGTGTCTGTAGTCCATCACATCCCCCATCTATCGTACCTCTTACGCGTTTCCAACTTCCGAAAAGTAACCACCAACATGCCACGCCCTACAAGCGCGAGTCGTTGCACATGCTCTATTTAGGCCGGCTTTCCCAGCACGGTCGCTCGGCGACCAACAGGTTGCCAAAAAGAGGGCGGTTTAGATAGATCTCATCGAAGGGCGTTACTTGCGCCCATCGGTCGGTTACATGTTGCATCTGGAGAAATCGAGTTTTGAAAATCAGTCTAAGGGGAGGGTGCGATGGCTCGCTCCCTTCTACGGTACGCTACCCGTCCTTCAGCGAAGCAGGCTGTTCAGTTAACATGCACAGATTTTCAAGAGGGCTAGGCAACGGTTTCTTGAAACACCCCTTCACCGCCGTTACGCAACCCTGTACTGGTACGTTGGTGGAAATGCTTGGTGGCTTCAAGAGGACCGGATTTGTATGTCCGCAGAGCCGGAATCGTGTTTCAAACCTCTGTTGGAAATGTCGCGACCGCTGTTTTTGGGCGGTGCTCGGTTTGTTTATTGAAATGTAAACAGCGTCAAAGGAAAGACTGCTCTACCCGTTCGAGATACAGTACCCCTTTCAAAGACATGTGTAGCAATCTGTATCGAGAGAGCAGCCTACTGGGTATTTTAGTCTGTTAAAGCCTGCGTACACTTAAAATAAGCGCTTGCCCGCGCTTGGACCGGTCTCCCCCGGTGTTTCGATGCCTACACCCCAAGGCACATCGGGAACAGCCGTAGCAGCAACGGCAGCAGCAGTAGTAGTGTCTGAGCGTGAAGAGGGCGGCGGGCCTTGAAGTTTATCCTCATCTTGGGAGGCTATGGTCTTTTACCTAACTTAGGGTTAGGGCTATGGTCTTGCACCTGAAACAAGAATCGCTCGTCGTCGGTGTCGATGCCCTCTACGGGTGCTGAGTCGTGGAACCGATGGGACGAACCTTCTTTTGTAAATCAAATCGACCAATGGATAGACAACCGCCGCTGCATGCCTCTAGCACGTAAAGTAGGGAAACGCCCGATAAGTGCCGCCTACTCCGTGGTTGGTTGTTACGCAAACACAGGGCTGCTGCAAGAGGCGATGTGTTGAGCATTGAAAGGGAGAGTGCGTGGTCACTGATCAAGCGACGAGGGCAAGCAATGATTGAGTAGGACGTATCGCGCCCCCCACCCCCCAAAATTGAAGCATGGCGACCAGCTTCTGCTTCATCCTTGAGAATCGTAATTAAGCCTGGACTAATGAAAGTCCGGCACATGCCTCCGTCCCGGCATTGTAGGGAATGCGAGGTCAATGGTCTAATGACTACGGCATGCGTAAATGAGTACAACCCCCCTCCATAGTTTTGGCGTTTGTTTACGTTCCACCCGGTTCGTTCCGGCCCATTCTCGCCGCAGAAAGGTGGCGTCTACCTCAAGAGTCGCGGATTTATGGGTTTTTTTGTTTCGGGGGCACGGCACACCCGTGTTTGGCCCTACGGAAATCACCAAGTCTGTACATCGTCCCATGTATTCTGGACGTCAGCCTTGACTTTGCACCATTCGGGATTTTTTCTGCGCTGGTGTAGGCGAACAAAGCCAGTGACGCGAGGTCCTCGTGTGGAGTACGACAGTGTGTGATGACGGCACAAACCCCCGTCCCTGCCCCCCTCTCCCCGGTGCCCGGTGCATCTCAGGCGGATAGCGATGACGAGGGCCTGCCCGATCTCGAAGATGACGACGATCAGCCAGGTGCCTAGAGGTGACGACGCTTCGCTGGCCCGAGGTTACCCAAGAGTCTTGTCAAGCAGACGCTTTCTGTTATCTCGGCATTCTGGCGCGAGTTTTGTTTTTGTCGGGCCAGGCGGTTTATCCTCGTTACACTTTATAGACGCTTGATTACTCTCAGCGTGCGGCGGCTATGCAAGATGAGCCCGGGCTCGGAGTACGGCGGTGTTGGGGCACCATGGGGTGATCCTCATTCCACGCGTTTACTTCTTGATGCTTGGTCGAGGAGACGGCAGTCAGGTCCGGGTTGGGGGGGAGGGCGAGGGGTCGTGTCCCTGCGCTTGTTTTTTTGGTATTATATCACGTTCGTTTGTTTAGTCTCTTGTTTTTGTATCCAGTCATGTCGTAGATGGCAGTAAGGTTGACGGTGTCTCGGGGCAACAAAAGAGTGATTTGACTCTGTTGGTCCTCAGTTTCGAGCTGCTTGTTCGGGTGCTTCTAGTCTTTTCTGTTCCGGTCCGCGCCCTCTGGGGGGAGACGCCGAATCCCGGTAGAAGTTTCCATGTCAGTTTAGACCCGACTCCTGAACTCCCTCGCCTCTCGTTGTGCGGGCAAGACATTCATCTCACCCACCTTTCCCGTAAACAGGAGTGAGTGTAAGTAGTGGGATGACACCCTGGGGTGTGAGTGACCTACCCGTGGTGTGTTGTTATTGCGCGGTGGAAAGTTTTTCTTTTTTTGTGGGACGGTTCTAAGACAAGACTGTACGAGCGACAGCGTGGGTTACTTACACGTTGCGCTTGTGGAGCTCTGACGGCAGAGCGGCAGCAAGAATGGGGTGAATATTTGTTTTGTTTGCCAAACCACACAGGCGACTCCTTGGGACAGCCGCCCGGCGCTCCGGGAGCACTGAAGTCTCGGGGCAAGGTTGGAGTCTTCGGAAAACTGGTAGATGCTATTAAGCGTACTATCATCTTGGCGGGCTTGCTGCGTACACGCGTGGGAGCTCTCGAGCTGTGGGGGAAACCGTGGATTACAGGGCGAAAGAGAAGGGGTGGGAGGAGGACCCCTTTGCCAAGAATATCATGACTCCTTATTAACCTACGTAGTCAAATTCCTTGTTTGTATTTCGTTCGTTGTCGGGGAGGATGAAACAAGGCATCTAAGGTCCTCTGCGTGTGTGATTGATACGATGGGAAGAGAGGCAAACGTCGCGCAGCAGACGGTCGGCGGCCAATGGCTCACAAAAGCCGCGACTCATATGCCGCCGCCGCGGGTACACGGTATCGACCGCATGATGTGACACACAAGACGGTCAAGGGGGAGGGGTGGCTTTCGCGACAATAAAGAGCACCAAACGCTCACAAGGAGAGCGGGTCAACGCCCGTGGCACCCCGCCTGGTTCGGGACATGCGGGATGGTTCTGTGCCAGGCGTCGTAGCTGGAGCGATCGAGCACTACTGCAGTGACACTTGACCGCTTGGGCCATTCCAAAATCAGCCTGTGCCTGTGGTTGGCAGCGAGTGCAGCTACTATGATACTATCGCCAATGGTGCTGCCGCCGACAGTTCTGCCGCCGATTTCGCTGGCTTCTCTGGTTGGGTGCGCGGCCGTCTCAAAGCCCTTCGGCGTTCGTTGCCCACGGAAGAATCATCAGGAGGTGTTGCCGTCTCCACCCCTCCTTGATTCGCCCTCGTGACAACTGGTACATGGGGTTCACTAAGGGGGCGAATCTGTATTAAATATTTTGAACAAAGAGTCTCTAAACGCTACTTCGTTGTTTATGCTTGATGGTGCAAACTGTAAGATCTGTTCTTGGCACCCGTCCCTGTGTGCCAGGTTCCCAGTGGGAACAGAAGAGCAGAGTGTGTGGAGCACACGGCTTGCCACATCATATTCGCTCTACCTGCCCGCATTGGCGTAAGTGCTTCCAAATCTGTTTGTAACTGCCATTTCTCAACCCTCCAAACAAACCACCACGAACCGGCTGTTTGTAGCTCCTGTGGGCCACGTCGGGCTAGGGGATAAAACACCGTCTACTTCCTTGGTTGTTTCTCGACAACGGGATCATACGAGAGTAGTGCTAGTTCGCACACCGTAGGACACGCGCAGACCGCTGCCCGTTCAGAAATCGTTTCTTCGAAGTGCTGAAAAGGAGAGTTGTGGGCAGTGCTGGGCAGGTGCCTGGTCGAACGCCAAGGTGTAATCTAAGCCGCCCCCAAAAGGGCGCCCCTATCCACATCAGTCTTTCTACAACCACGATCCGTGCCTCCGTACCCTACGATCTTCTACGCCTTCTGCTGCACTGGTGAGCTGCTCCCATCCGTGGTCACACCCATCGAAACCGCTGTGCAAGGCATGCCACCGTTTTGGTTCCTTCAGCACGTCTTGGAGTTTACGCCGGAAGCCAGGGCGAACAGGCGTTCCGCGGTCCTTCCGCGTCACACACCCCGCACCGGGGGGGATCGGCATCCGCCCTCTCTCCACCCGTCCCGATCGAGTTCCAAAACGTGCACACCCCACACGGCCAACCGTCTCCGTCTCCTTCCGGGACGACAGGGGATGGTATCGAGCTGTCCCCGCTCTCAACAACCGCCTTTAGAGAAGCTACCTCCGCTACTGCTGCTGCTGCTGCTGCTGCTGCTGCTGCCGCTGCCGCTGCTTCGGTCGACTCTGCTTCTCGAATTTGTTCTTGGCCATCGTCGTCGCTGTTCTCTCCCGAAGAAGAGCTTTCCGAAGAGCTTCCCCCAAGGTTTTCCCACATGAATGCGTGCGCTTCGAGTTTACCCGCGTCTGCGCGCTCGGCTCTCCTGTCCTGGTCCCGCCTCTGCCGGTTCTCTCGCCGGGCCTCCTCCATACGCCTACGAGAAGCGTTGAGTTAACGTTGGCGTGATGTTGGTGTGTTGTGTCTCTCGTACGATACGACGATTCGTGTGCGTGTTCAATTGAATTCGCGGTAGTTCAGTCCAGTTGTTGTGAAAGACAGACGTACATGGGCCATGCTTCATATCTTCACAATGCAACAATATCGACACTTAGTTTGGTAATCGCATGTTTTTTCCGGGTATTTTGTTTCGCTATTTGACTTCCACAAGCTCAATCACCCCCCGCCCCCCCGGTTTTCCATCGTGGTTGGGTTTTCGTCGACAAGCCTACGCCTCGTGAGGTCGACAACCAGGTTACTGCCTTTATTGTTCCTTTGTATTTTTTTGCGGTAACCATGATGGTCGAGTAAATCGTGTTGTGAGGGGTCGAGGTCGAGAACGCTCACTCCGCGCATAGGGGATGGTCGCATGACGTTGTGTGAACATGGTCAAGCACCCTTGATGCAGTTAGAGGGCTAATAACTGTCCCTGGAAGTGGAAGCACCAGAACATACATTGGGTCATTCGCAGCCATCTTCCTCTTTTGCTTTTTTTCGTCCTATATACTATGGAACAGTCCCCCCAACTGCAATGAAACAAGCACAAGATGCCGGACACCCTCAGCAGGATGCAGCGTATCCTTCACGCGACTCGCCGAAACGCGAACGGCGCTTCGCGCTTGGTGATGTGAGAGCCTGGTCCAGCGACAACTCGGCGTGCTTCGCCCCGGCTTTGTACGGATGCGAGTTCAACGGTCTAACCACCACGGCATGCATGACTATGAGTACCCCCCCTCCTGGTTATTGTCCATGCACCGCTGGACACGAAACCGATGAGTGTTGCACCCCTGCTTTCGCCAATATCACTCAAGATCTAATTCCAACCACGGGTATATATCGAAGCAAATTGCGTACCTCAGCTTACTAAAAGGTATGCTGTACCTGACCATAGTTGAGTCTTACCCCCACGTTACTCCTACCCCAGTTAACGTTGGCGCTTGTCAGAGAGCTGTGCAAGATTGGATAGCATTCAAGCATTGACAAAAGGTGCAGTGTCAAACAATCCCCATTCGGCCGGTGCTGTGCCATCCTGAACTAATTCAGTTGACAAAATGTATGTCCTGTACGTTGGTTTTCGTTCCTCGCACCTCAGCTTCTCGAGGCGTTCTTGGCGGGCGGCCGCCTCCTGCTCCACCGTCGTCGCCCGACCGTCGGAAGGCCGCGAGAGCCTCCCCTTGATCGCCGAGTTGCCCCACTTGGAGTGCCGCTTCCCTGTCCCAGTCGAAGACGGTGCCGCAGCCGCTGCAGGGGCGACGGCCGTAGGGACAGCAGCAGTAGCAGCAGCAGCGGAGGCTCCAGGAGCCGGGGACGCGGTCGAATCATCGTCCCCTGTCTCACGTGGTGCCAATTTCTCCTCCTTGCCCTCGTGCTCTTGGGCCCGGTCTTCATCTTCGTGGCTGTCTTGCAACCGCGGCTCCTCCTTCCTTTCTGTCTCGTCGTCCCCTCCTTCGTCTCTAGCGCCATCTCTTGCTACGCCCACAGGTTCCTCATCCTCCTCCTCCGAGGAGTCATCCCAGTTGTCACGGACAACGTCGACCAAGCTACCACAACCACCGACACCACCATCGTCGGCAGGGGGAGCAGAAGGGTATAGCTTGGCCCGGAAGGGGGCGTGGTGGTCCGTCCGGGTAACGCGGGCCGCTGCAACTAGTTGCTCCGCTTCTTTCTCGACCTTCTCCCACGCGCGCCTTGCGGGAACAAAACACCATGGCATGGCCATGCAAACACGCAAAAACAAACGCACGGAATGTCACTATCCCTCCGCTCCAATGCTTTTGGGGCTTGTAATGGCCAACGTGGACCAAGTTTTGAACACACAAGTTTCGGGATGTCACAAACCACACTAAACAAATCGAGGTGGATTTGTACCATTCAGTGAAGATATGAAAACGCACTAACCTCGCATTCAGCGCGCTGGAGAACTCCATGATGAGAGTACTTCCCCCAGAGCCCCCACCACCGCGGTGCCCCTGCACCCCCGCCGCCGATACCTCCTTAGCAGTGGCCGGTCGAACCCCAACGACAGTCCTGGCAGGGACGAGCGTCCTACATAGTAGAATGCATACATGAAAGCAGCAGCAGCAGCAGCAGCAACAGCAGCAACAGCAGCAGCAACAAGTGCGGTGCACACAGCCGAGTAGAACATCAGCACCTATGTCGTCGATGAGGATAAATAACTATCCCGTCTTGCCGTACTGAGGTCGCATGATTGTACAGGACGCCACATGTTTGGAGATTATCGCACCGTCGTAGAACACCCGTCGGGTCGAAGCTAAAACCCACACCCACGCCCAATTTCGCCCAAGGAACGGCAGCCTCAAAAACCTGTTCTCCTGTCACCAAAACCCAAGAAACAGACGACACCCCACCTGACTGACGCCAGGACAGCGTCCCCGCCCCCGAGACCCGCCTGCACCGAATGGAACACCAGGAGGCACTCGGGGTTGTCCGGGCCCACCGCTGCGGCTCCACCGGGCCCGGCGCCGTTGCCCCGGTTCCGCCCGCCGTGACCGCTCGGAGTGCCAGCGGCGGCGCTCTTGACGGCCTCTGGTAGACTGCCGCTGCCGCTCGCTGACCCTGATTTCTTGGGGTTCCCAGGAACACTGTCGTTGCTGGTTTCCCGCCCCTTGAGCTCCTCCGCCGCCGCCGCGTCTTCCTTCTCATCCCGGTCCTGCCGGAATGGGTCGGCGAGGATAGTCGCCGCCTTGGCTGCGGGTGCTGGTGTTGCCGTGGCCGGCCTTGCCGAGGAGGAGGGCGGCGGAACTCCCCGCCTCTTGCTCCGCTGAAAGAACGCCTTCTTGCCTGCCGCCGGACGAACAACAAGCAGTGGTTGGTAATATGTGCTTGTGTATTGCGGTGCCGCCGGACGGACAAAAAGGAGGATATACCACACATACGTTGCTTTCAACCATTCAATATACAAGGAGAGAGAGAGACAAGAGAGAGGGAGAGAAAGAGAGTGGCAACAGGGGCGCCTGGGCGTGTTGGTAAAGGTACAAATGTATGATCCCGGATCGGTGGTACTCACGAAGGACAGTGAACAAACAAAGCATGTGATACAATTTTGTTTCCATACCGAGAGAGCATCTGTGAAAGCGGGTAAACGGGAGGTGCGTAAGGGCGATGCCGCCTACCACCACCGGGTGGAAAAGATGGCTGACAACAAACGCCAAGATCTTCCCATTAAGAATCCATAAAACTGAACCACGCGCGCCGCAGACTCCACTCCTGCGCGCTCCCTCGCACAGATAGGCAATCCATCTGCCGCAAGCTGCACGTACATGCGCACACGCTTTCAAGGGAGCCCGCAGGCTACAAACCTGTTTTGTGTCGGCGTTCGTCGTCGGCCTACAACATTCCAGCGCCTTTCTCGTCGGCCAGAACTGAACACACAGCGCGATCGATGCCGCTAAATAGATGATTATCAACACGGATGCCGTCGGTTCATAGGGTGTCCCTCTCACCGTCAGCCTTCGCGTTGTTGGCCGCCGCAGCCGCCGCCTCCGCAGCCGCAACCGGATCCACCGCCAGCGGATCCGCGCTCGAGATTGACGTCACTGTCGATGTCCGGGGGCCACCTCCTCCTCCCAAAGACGGAGTTACCCCCGGCGGGGGATGGTCGCTACCCTTGCCCCCAGATGGTGTTGACGCTGGTCCCAGGAGGCTTGTCGCGCGAGGGTTTGGGTTTGTGGTGGTCCTTTCCAGTGCCTTGGCGGGAGTGAGGGGGGGTGGATCGATCGTAGAATGGTGTCAACTTCTGAACCGAGCAGCAGGGGCTAGAGTGGTGTTGCAACAGGGGCTGCTGGCACCGGCAGCGGTAGATACTGTATGCCGCCACCGGGAGGGAGGGAAAAAAAAACAGCTCGACATCAACAGCAACGATACTCCCCCCCCCCCCCCCCA